ATCTGAGAAGCTCTTGGATGTGAGTGGAAACAGACTTGCTAGGTTTCTGGAATTTGGGAGAGAAGAAAGGAGATAATGCCTGTACTACATAAGATTGTAGAATTATTTTTTCTAGGCTTGGGGTCTGGAACATGGCGGATCTTAGAACTCTAAGCATTAGCATCCACATGACTTTTCTATGAAATGCAAGCCTGAATTTCTCTCAAAGTTCAGAGGAAACAGTAACTTCCAATTTCTCTCTAACTTTGTAGAGTTTAAGTGAAATTTCAAGTGCTGACTTCAGTGGAATTCTCTTTTGCTACAAGCTGATAGATAATGCAAAGTGAGTTGAAAAGTACCTTATCAAATTTCTATTAAATGTGTGATGGGGGAAAATCCACTAAAATTTTTCTTTTCTCTGAATATGTGCCTAGGGTCTAGAATCATCTTCATGTAAGTCAAGAGACGCTGTCGAAGATTGATAGATTTAATTCAATGATTTCTGAACTCAAAATTCCTTTAAAATGCATATGTAGCTATTCAATGTTATTTGAAAAGTATCTTGTTGTTACAGGATTCATTTTCAATCATCTGCAAGCCACTTTTTGTAATCTTAAAATTTTAGTGTTGATGGTCCTTATGTTTATAACCCAAGGACACATGACACAATAATATTGGTTGAACTAAGCTGAACTTGACTCCTTTCAGAATCACCATGGTGTTAAATAATAAGAGCTTGGATATTTGCCACACCCTGTAGCACACTAAACTTTGGGCGTTTGGTTTTGCTTAATTTTGAACAGTGAGTAATGTATATACTCCCTAAAATTTTTAGTATTTTGGTCTCAGTGGAAAATAATGACTGCAGGTTGAAATTATTTTTAATTAAATTCTATTGGCTCCTGGCTGGATGTCCCAAAGTTAAGCTTTTTAATTAACTTGTCACTTTAGGCCCAAGGTCCTAATGACAATGGTTTTAAATATAATCTGGATGCTGAGTTCCATGATTATGAATCCTAAATCATCTCACACCAGGGGGAAAAAACAGTCACTATGCATTGATGAAGATTCATGTTTGTTCTCACCCTCTCCCTAACACAAGCAATATGGTTCATGAGAAAAGAATTATGTTGAGAACCTAGACAATCATTTTGTTGCTTCTATAAGGCAATAAGCATTCTCCAAGACACCCCTTTCCTGTTGGAGAATATTCTATGAAGAGGATCGTGTTTTTACTTACGTCCAACCTCTGGAATTGCACGGAACAGGGGCATGTGTGACATGTACAGAGGTCAAGATGCTGAGGCTGCCACGTCCTATTCTCGTTTTGCTCTGGTTAGAATGCTCTAAAGTTAGGAAAACCCCAAGGGATAGCATCAGCTTCTGCAGTATTCATGTCTGAAGCTGGAAGGGTCACTTGTGAGCCATCTCATCTTGGTAATTACCAGTAGACAGAGCATATGTCTGTATAAACGGATTATCTCCATTACATGAGAGATGCAGCACATATCTTACCATTTCCATGCATCTTGAACAAAACAGTCCAATGTTTATCAAGAAGATTTTCTTTTAACTTTTGAACATATAAATATACTTGACTTAAGGACTTTGGATGCTTTGGGGGATCTTTGTGATAACTATGATCAGAGAGATTCTTTTCAGAGGTACTTTCTTTGTATCTTAGTTATATTTCCCTAATAGATTTTCAATCTGTGCTTCTGAAGTTCAACCTTTCCCTGGATCCTGAGACATAAAGTGTTGGCTGTGATAATGCTGGAAATTGAACTCTGTTAGCATCATTTTTTTGGGGGGGGGGTATTAATATTAAATAAGCTAAGTGTGCTTTTTTCAATAATGAAATTTGCAAGTGAATGGATATCAGTTTTAGCAAGACCTGTCTTATTATTTAAGAAAATGAATATCCTGTCACCAACTCAAAGATTTTTTTTAGATGAATTTATTTTAAAACTGCCAACTGTCTATTTCAATGTTGAGAAGTATTTCAAGTGGCCAAGTTAAGAGTCCCATTCCTCTAATGGCACAGTTGAGATGCCATTCCAGCACAGTAAATTCTGCTTGAGATACTTCCTGCCTTCTCAAAAGAGGTCCCTCTCAGGGTTCTGTGCCAAGGGTGATTAGAGGTGATTTCCAACAAATTCACCAAGTTATTCTAGCTCTTTTTTTTTTTCACATTGATAGTGTTCATGTATAATATTCACTACACATAGGAAGCATTTGCTATGCAGTAGGTCAAGTTTTTTATAAACATTATCTGACTTGATCCTGAACACAACTCAATAAGGGTACTATTATACACCCTACTTTTTAAGAGAAGGCTAAAGTCAAAAAGCTGAAGTCTCTTACTCAAAGCCACAAAGCCAAAAAAGTCACAGTGTGTTTTCAGACATGGCTGTAGATGAACTAGAAGCCCAGACTTTTAGCCTCTCCGCTAGACCCAGTAAAAGTTTAACATCATCAGGTTGTTAGGGTGGATCTAGAATATTACAACAAAAGTTTAAAACAGAAGTGTGATCAGATCCCCTTCCGAGGACCCCATCCACCCAGCAGGGAGATTGGCAGTAAAGTCCTGATAACTCACTTTTGCTCCAGCCGAGTCTCATCTGCCTCTTTCTTCCTCTCTAGTGACAGACAGGGAGAGAAGGCAGGAGCAACATAACAGTGAAGGCAGAGACCAAAGAGGAAAGACCGCTAACTATGGGTGAGAAATTCCACAGCAAGAGGTCAGATAAAGAAGCCAAACTTCCGCTTCACATTTAGAGTCTGCATTACTAGAATGCCAACCTAGGAAGACATTTCGTCCATAAGGACAGAGTGAAATATGAAGGAACAAAACAGAACATTACATTTTCTCTATCTTCAAATTTTATAAGAAGCTTGAGCTCATCCAGCTGGGTCTGGGCTGTTATTTCTCTGTTTGCAAAGGTAGTTCTAGCAAATTTATGATAAAAAAGAGCAGATACATGCATGTGTGCAACTGATTCACTTTGCTGTACCCCTGAAACTAACATTGTAAACCAACCGTAACGCCAATAAAAATGCTTTTAAAAAGGAACAGAAGAAATGTTTCCTTTAAAAAAAATTGTTTTGAATAAAACATATAAAAAGCCACTAATGTACTGTTTACTTTAGAATGTCTTAACTAAGAGCTGGTCATTAGACAGAAATAATGAATACTGAGAAACAGTCATGAGCAGAAAGTAGTGTCATGCCATCCCTTGAGAAAACCCCTGTTATTATGGCCCATTAACAACAAGAACTTTCCTCCCCAATACACCAATATTTCATTCTCCCTTATTGATGGTGTTTCATTTGAATTATCAGTTTTACTTGTGGAAGCTCTAGTAGTGTGTATATGTGTATAATGTACACAAAACAAATGCATTTATTCACCACTCTAAAACTTTTTAAGGCCCCAATTTTAGTTGTTTTGATCTGAAAATCTAAAAAATAAAAAAATAATGCATATCCATACTGGGACATTATATTTGAGAAATGGAGATTAGTAGAGGCAAATAGAAGACTTCATAGAAGGAAACACTAAAACACTCATCTTGTGTCTTTTTTTTTTTCTCATCCAACAGATTCATGGGCCATATCCACATATATCCACATAACTATAGCCAATAGGATCTGAAACAGTAAATTCATTTAGTCCGACCTGTGACAGCTGTCTTTCTTAAAACATTGCCCTTGGATAGCTGGTGTGTATTTGTGCCTTGTTAGAGTGAAGAATGAAGACAAATTGTAAGCTTGAGACTATTGGCAGACCGTGGATTCAGGAATATTCTTACAAGGGAAGTTGGCACCCTGTTTTGTGCTGTGTCTTCACAGAGAATTATGATGTATTTGATTCATTTAATCAATGCAGACAACAGTTCAAAGTGGAGAGCTTTTTGGCGTAGACCATCTAACTCGATTGTCTGTATAGATCAAATAAAATGGGTGGGCTGCCAAACTTCTAACTGTATTTCATGCCAAAGAAAACCTGTCAAAGAGAAGAATTGTCTTAGAGAAACTACTTAGAAGACTGACATTTTACAAAGGAAATCTTGACATTTAGAAAGATCAAAAAGACCAGCATATTGGTGATGACATTATAGAAACATAATCTTCAGGAAAATATTCTTGGGTCATTGTTAATATATCATGTCCAAGGAACTACACTGAAGTGAAAAGTAGATCACCCATTTTTCTCCACGGTCCTTTGAGTCTTTCAAGTTTGAGATTAAGCTTACTGGATCCATATTTTCTTAAAGAGTTTAAACTGTTCTGAAAACCAACAAAAAACTGCTGTCATTTTATCATGTTGATTCAAAAGGTGTAAGCATTCTGCGAAGAGTTTAAAAAAAGAGAGAGAGAGGAAGTATGATGTAAAGAGAGCATTTAGTAAGAAGAAATTATGAGAAATAAAGAGTCCATTTTAGGGCTTGACTTCCTGTGGGGATAAAGTGATGAAATGAAGGTGGAAACTATATTTTAACTCCGAAGATAATTTTGAGGTTAACACCAGAGGGTAAAAATGGGACAATTAATTCTCTTACAGACACGGAAATTCTTGGATGTTCACATAAGGTGCTTTGATCAGAGGTAGCATTTAAATTACATTACTATGATGAATTTAACAAGTGATGGTTTTCCTTTGATGAGGCTGTAAATATTTGCTTGAAAACAGAATATTACATACAGGGGGGCCATCTTCCATGATGACGTTAATGCACATACCACAGCAGGGTTCGGTCCTGTGGGGCATCTTCCTGGCGATTATGTACACAGAAACTCAGGGTGGTTCAGTTCTTTCCTCCCTAATGCCTGATTTAGCTTGGATGTCCCTCTCATGGGCAGAGTGGAGGGTCCAGAGAGGAAAGAGTTTTGATGACTTAGGGCAGGAACAGGCACTTTCCCAGGAAACCAGAGCTTTCCACGTGTTCTCGCAGTGACCTGCTTCCACATAGATGGTGGCGTCTAAGCTCAAGTGAGGGTCTGAATGGTATGAGACCCAGTTAGGGTAACGGAGCGGTTTCTGCTTCCAGATTTTCTAGCTGAAAGAAGAGAAAGTGCAAAGAGTGAATATTTCAGGTTGAGTTGCAGTATACAGTTATTGGACATCTTCTGTGTCAGAAAATATATTGAGAATCTTCATGTATACTTCCATCTGCAACTCTCAGAGTTTTTCCTAAATATCAAGGCATTATTTAATCTCTTGGGTCTTTAATACACTGATGAATAAGAATTATACACTAGTCATAAAAGAGATATGATATGATGGCTTCATGAAAAAAAATATTTTAACCCAAATTCTGTTTCCCTCTGTCCTTGAGCCTCTTCCCTCCTTATCTTCAAATTATTCATGATTTGATCAAAATTTCAAAAGAAAAGCCACACCTCTCTTTGTAGTACCTTTTACGTTCTTTCTTTCTAGATGAAGAACTATTCTTTTTCACCGAACTCACTAAATCAGTGGATTTTTTTTCCCCTGAAGCCACTGATTTGCAGTTCAGAGATATTCCTCCCCCTGCTACCCCCACCATAAACCTAGCATATCTGCTGAACGCTAAACCGGACATTTGTTCACACACAAAAATGTGGCTTGATATTTTCTAGTAAGGGAGGAGGATCACAGACATGAAGCGAGTTTTACGATGAACAAATAGGTGTTGCTGTCATACTGGTTACTTTCACCGAGAAAAAAAGGAGTTGTTTGTATAGTAAGTGGAAAGAGATGAGATTTTTTTTTTCTTTAACTTTATTTTGGTAACTTCCACACTTCAGGAAAAGTACAAGAATTAGACTGGTATTAATACAAAGAACACTTGTGCACCTTTTACCCAGATTTACCTACTTTTAGCATTGTACCCTCTTTGCTTTACCACTTGCTTCCTCTTCGTTTTTTTCCTCCTTCAACAGATACACAGACATACAGACACACACATACACAGATGGACACACTTTGTCTCACTGAACCATTCGATGCTAAAATTTGATCCCTAAATATTTCATGATGCATCTCCTAGGAGTAAGGAAAAGAGAGCTCACTCTGGGATCGCTGTGGGAGAGGCAGAGTCTGCCATGACCCCTGGATGCTCCTGTTCATGCTTGCTGATGGTAGGACTTAACTGATCTCTGACCCGGAACCATTTCTGCAGTGGTCGCATAGGTGATTAAGTAGGTCGAGGTGACCACAGCGCTGATCACTGTGTGACTGCTTGCTCCTAAGAGGCTGCTTTATTGCTTGTTACCAAAGGGACTGAGACATTAGCTCTGGTTCCTCAACTGTGACCCAATCCACTGTGTGTGCAGCCACCATCTGAAGCCATCGCATCACCCTTCGCAACAGCTAAAGTTTCTACTGTTCATTGTGCCGTGACCACCTAAGTATTTTTATCTACTTTTGGCACCTATGGACCTGTGGCGAGACAAGCTGCTTACTTGCTCGTCATCTTCTCCTTTGGGGTCTTGTTACTTCTTGTCCTCTTTTAAGAGGCTGAGGTTCTTCCCCAACTGGTGCCACAAGCAGTTTGTCAAGATGGATGATGAGTTTTGGAAGGATAAAAGACAAGGGCTCATGGAAGAGATCTGAGGATGTGAAGAAACTCCTCGGGAGCTGGCGACAAATGTTCTGGCCCACATGGTGCAGAGAGAGGGTGTCAACACTCCACCCTGCCCTCTGTTATTGTTCCTGTTTAGTCACTGCGTCCTGTTTGACTCTTTTGTGACCCCGAGGACTGTAGCCCCCAGGCTCTTCTGTCCATGGGATTTCCCAGGCAAGAATACTGGAGTGGGTTGCTATTCCTTTCTCCAGGGGGGTTTCCTGATGCAGGAATTGAACTTGAGTGTCCTGTATGGGCAGGCGGATTCTGTACCACTGAACCACCAGAGCCACCCTGCCCCGTCAGTTGATAAACAGGAGTTGAGTGGATGGATGGAGACTGAGCAGTGAGGGGTGAACTCTAACCAGATGCCCAGGTGGTGCCAAGGCTGCCGTTTGGCTTCCTGTGGACTAGGGGACTAGGAGAGCACTCTGAGCCCCCCTAGGGAGGAAAGTACAGCTACATGCAGTCTTAAGTCACAAGTAGAAACATCTAGAGGACAATAAGTCCCTATATTGAGCACCAACCTATAGACCCTTAATGAGAGGGAAAGGAAGCAAGACCAGGAGGATTTTGATCAACAGACAGAGCAACTTGTAGACCCGTGGATGACAAAGGCGTGAGGAAAGTTATGTTCTTAGACAATGAATGAAGCACCTAGGCTGTCAAAATCTTGAATGGACTATGATTCTGGAGGCAGTAAAGAAAATATTCCTTGCACTATGACTCTCTATTATCATACATGTAGCCCAGCACTTAATTGCACTGCCCAGCTATTGGAGACAATATGTGCCTTATCTATGCATGCATTTTGTTGTCTGCAAATTAATCAGATAACCTGTCAAATCTGGCAGAAGACCTAAGCAGCAGGTGACACTCTGGGGCTTTTCTGAACAGATTTCTGTGAGAGGAGGACTGTCCCTTGGAACCTTCCTGGGACCATCATTATCCACTTCAGCTGGGGAAGGAATAGCTCAGGCTTTGGAGCTACTGGGAGGGGAAAATGATTAATTCTCTCTTTGTCTCTAAATTCCAGGCTGCAGCCTGGCAAAGCAATCACATGGTCCACTGGACAGGGAGCTCTGATGGCTAAATTGACCTCCTGCAGGGTTTATCACCCCAGTCTATGTGCTGTGAGATCAGAGGAACTCGTGTGGGTTTGGCTGGTCTTGAGTTACTTTATGATGCCTAATGTTATTAAAGGCAGCTCTTAAATGTGATAATCTTGTACATGTACAAACACACACAGATAGATGCAGCCATAGAGTCATAACCAGCTGACCTGCTTAGTTGCAGAGATATCTCTCTTGAAAACTTGCAACTCCCTGACATTTTCGAAGACCAGGCTTCTTTCCTGACTGTAATCACAGTGCTGTTATAAATTCAGTAAATTTAACATTTGACATAGATATAATATTTTAATCTACCATCAGCTTTCCATTTTTTAAAAGAACTCGTTAAACTGTTACGTTTTCCAGAAAGTCAACCAGCAAATCCCCTTGAGTTATTTATTAGCCTACTTTGAAAAATAAAGTTTCCAAAAGCTTTTAGGTTCAAACTGAAGCTTATTTGAGGCACTTTTAATCTCTAGTGATACAAAGATTGGTACGTGCTTCCTATCCCTGGAAGGAATTTAAGAGACTGCCTTTTCCCATTTTATTAATCTCTGGGAGGAAATAGAGGTCTTGAGAGGTGAAGTGACAGGCCCAAGAATATTGGTGGAGGGAAGCCTGTTTAATATTTTTATTTTTACTCTTGGTAGTGCTCTCTTCCACTTTTATTTTCTCTTTCCCAGCCTTGATGTCAGCCAAAGTTGCAGTTGAAGCCAGTACCAGACTTGGGGTATTTCTGAAGCTGATCAATGTTTCAGTCAGTCATAGATTTCAAAATCCCATTCATTACAGAATCCATAAAAACAGAGCCACCCACCCACAAGAAAACTTTGCGAGTGAATGACTCATCGGCAAAGGTTTCCATTTATGTGAGTAGTAGAGAACTCACCCCCTCTTCCATGTTTCATTGCTAGAATCAGACACTTAGGAATGCAGAGTGCAGCAAAGGGTCATGCTTTAGTAAGGGGGAATTCAAGGATAGGTGGAATAATCTGATATATCAAAGGCTGCTGTTTAACTGCTAAGTCAAGTCCGACTCTTTGCGACCCCTTTGACTGTAACCCGACAGGTTCCTCTGTCCATGGGCTTTCCCAGGCAAGAACAGTGGAATGCGTTGCCATTTCCTTCTCCAGGGGATCTTCCTGACCCAGGAGCAAACCTGTGTCTCTTACATTGGCAGGCTGATTCTTTACCACTGAGCCACTAATCCAGACTCAAATATGCCATTTGCTTCCTTCTGCTCGTAATATGAATTTTTGTTCGATATAATAAATTCTTTTGCAAAAGGAAGCTTTGGTGATTACCTCTTTTGGTGTTCACTAGGAGTAGCTAGTCTCAAGAGCCTGAATGGGGGTAATTAATCAAGACCAGAAATGAGCTAGCTGATTCATTGGCTAGCAAAAAAAAGGTAGGAAAGTCCTGTTGGAGAGGAGGTCCCCTAGGCAGCCAGTAGCATGAGATGCCAGAGCCACACAGCTGGCTCGGGAGCTGGGTGTATGGTTTCTGATTTTGCATTGTTTCACAGGAATGATTGTAAGGTTTTCACAGTTAAATATAGATCACTCTTAAAAGAAGCCTGTTTTCTAGTGGGACCTTGCTGCATAGCACAGAGAGCTCTGCTGATTCTCTGTGAAGACCTAGATGGGTGGGGTGGGATGGGGGTGGGAGGGAGGTCCAAGGAGGCGATAAGTGCATAGGCTTAGCTGATTCTGTTCATTGGTCAGCAGGAACTAATAGAACATTGTAAAGCAATTATATTCCAATAAAAAAGAAACAGACTTTCCTCAAAGATGTTTCATTCAAAACAAAAGAATGTGTCAGTTATAAGGCTTCTTACTAGCAAGGTGTAATTTAAAGCACTGAAAACATATCCCAAAGCAATGGAGATTTCTTCCCACTTTAGGATGGTAACCAGAAAGCAGCAAACTTCAAAATGAAACAAAGCAAAAGTGAAAACCCAAACAAAAGACAATCTGTTCTATTTTCAGAGGTATAAAATTTCATTATCTTGTTTGTATTTATACTGTATGTTTTGAATGAGAGAGAGAATAAGAGATCGACAATCAATTTTAGAATCCTGGTTAATGCCTAGAAATATGAGACCTTGTCATTCATTCTAGTAAAACGGATTTGAAACAGATTTGTGCCTAACTGGAACTAATGATCTATGGTGGGCTTTTTGAAGTGCTTAGGCAGACCATTCTTTGATTTGTTAAAGAGAAAAACAAGTATCATATATTAATACATATATGTGGAATCTAGAATCATGGTACAGATGAACCTATTTGCTGGGCAGCAATAGAGATGCAGAAGTAGAAAAACAGACATATGAACACAGGG